ATGTACAGAGGAGGGGGCAACAAGTGCTGTTTCATTGTTGACATAGTTGCAAGGGGGTCACAAAGACAGGGGTCACCGAACGACGTGATGTACTTGAAGACAAGGGGATAGAAGCTGATGGCTGACTTGCCAGGTCGTCGGGATGCAGTCACGTCCCTTGTCAGGGAGTGTGTTCTCCGGGTTCGAGATGTTTGATGTTGTCACGATGATGATGATGATGATGATGATGATGATGATGATGATGATGATGATGATGATGATGATGATGATGATGATGATGATGATGATGATGATGATGATGATGATGATGATGATGATGATGGAAATGATGTCGATTTAGATTGTGATGACGATGGAGTTGATGATGGAAATGATGGCGATTGAGATGGCGATGGGAACGCCAACAATAAAGACAGCAATAATGACTGTTTCTTGCAGATCGCACCAGATCTTGGAGATCGATGATGACGACGCAAGTGTGGGAGATGATGAAGTCGACAGAGCAATCCGGTCTGTCAATCTTCTTTGCTGCTTGCTGGCGAAGTTACCATAATGGATGACTTTCGAATTCAGAGAGAAGAATGAAGAGATAAGAAAACGAGACGAGCTTGTCCAGGTGGACTTGATCTTCAACTCTGCATGTTCCCATCAAACGATTTGGTTCCATTTTTGCTGGCGGAAGCATCCTTGTTGTCTCAATCACAGAAAATCTTTGTCATACGATGATTCTCTGATCTTGTTTTGTTGACATGTTCACAGCTTCTTCGCTTCATCGGATCGGAGGTGATTCATCCTTCAATTCATGACAACGCGTATCTCATAGTTTGCAGAACATTCTGAAAGAGCAAGATCTACTTAAAGTGCTTGCAGAAGATGGTGAGAAACGAAGGAGATGAAAGCTGTATTCCTTCTTGTCTTAGTATCGATTTTCATTCTTGCAGACGTGCAAAGAGAATTGTTGATTGTGTTCTTTATGTTGATGGAGCGACGTCTTTGTGCTTTTGATGTTTTCGATCTGGAACAAGACGTGGAGAATCTTTCGTTGTGTTCGTGAGCAATGTTGATCACTTCCCGTGACCTCATCTTGTCAGATGTAGGAGGTTACTACCATTACGACTTGAGCAACAAGATCGTCGCATACCTGAAAAAGAGGTGAATTATCATTGTTGGGATAGTTGTCTTTTGCTGCTTCTGAAAACTCGACATGTTTCCTGTTCCACTTCGCTGATGATGAATACTCCTCTATTTATCTATTCACTCATTTGCTGTGCTGAGCTGTGTTCGTTGTGTTTTGTTATGTTTGTTATGTTTGTTGTGTTTGTGGTATTCGTTGTCTTTTCCTCTCATGTTTCCTCTTCAGGCCTGTCGACCTCGCTGCTCTGGTTCAGATCAATTGGAAGGTGAAATGATTTCAGCTCCTGCAAACTTTCTCACAATCAGCAAAGGAAACTCCGCTCGGAGCGTTTGGCCCAACAGTGATCGACAAACAAGTAAGAAGAGATCTCATGCCTTTGTTGTCTTGTCTTGTCTTGTCTTGTCTTGTCTTGTCTTGTCTTGTCTTGACCGTCTTGACTGTCTTGACTGTTACGACTAGTTCAT